ATATATTTATATATATATATATATTATATATTTATATATTTATATATTTATATATATATATATGTGTGTGTGTGTGTGTGTGTGTGTGTGTGTGTGTGTGTGTGTATATATATGTGTGTGTGTGTGTGTGTGTGTGGGTGGGTGGGTGGGTGTGTGTGTGTGTGTGTGTGTGTGATTCGATGTATGGGATACCAATAGTAATACCAAATTCAAAGACTTCTTCCGTTGTATCTGGTATCAAATCCATGTATGCCCTAGAAACAGTTACAGTATATTAAGGGAAACCTCATCTTGTTACCATCATATGTCTTCGTGAACACTTCGAATGTATGTGTGATACTATCCATATTACAGCAACAACTTATGAAAAGTAAATATTTGCCCTTTGGAGATTCCTTTCATTACACAAGGTCAGGTCATGAACATACCTGGAGCCACACCCCCTGCGAAGAACCCTTCGAACAGAACTGGCTTCAATTCAGCGCGAGCTGCATACACAGCTGCTGTGTGTGCAGCAGGTCCACTGCCTATGATAGCCACGTGTGTGCGTTCAAGGAACACAGGAGGTTTGGGTATTTTGGACAAGCATCTCAGCACATGAGTGACCTTCATTGTCTAAGTTACAGGCTGTGTGTGTTTCTGAACGTCTATGGCTCATGCGCGAGAAACTTGAGTGGTAAATACGCAAATCTTGGTCGAAGATGGAAAAACGACTAAAATACAAACCTCGCAGAGAAGGGGTGAGCTATAAGCAGCTGGGCCCAGTAGACTGCAGAGGGCAGGTGGCTGGGGATGTACTGTAAAAAAGAGGTTGTTCTTATTTATGTGTGTATTTATTTATTTATTTTTTAATAAAACAAAAACAAAAATTTAAATAAGCCTTCTTTTTGGGGCCATTGAAGGTGTTCTTTTTTCTATTTATATCGATATGTAGTTCTAATTTATTTTTATAAATATTGTATGTATAATTGTATCCCCCCCCCCCCCCAAAGCATAACCTGCAAGTTGTACTGAACTTTATTCAATTTTAATACCGACGCGAGCCAGGAAGCCAGCTGACAAGTAACTTTTTTTTTTAAACAAAAGAACAAACGCATCTCAGCCATCTGTCTTTGCTTTTTATTTCAAAAGCAACCCTTTTTTTAAAAACAATATAAAGTACAGTACATGTACAGTACATACATAGTTTGTATTTTTAATTTGTTTTAAAAAAGAAGGCAATGTTCATAAATATTTATATAAAAATACAAACTGTAATTTTTTAAATGTGTTTTTTCTAAAATATACTCTTTTGTTTTCAAAAATATCAATTATGTATGTATTTATGTACGGAACATAGCCTCCCCGCCCCCAGGACTCAGGCCAGGCTCATCTCAGGCCCCTCATCTCCCCTCTAAGAAAAAAAAGTCAAGTAGGAGAGGGGGCTATGAATCTAAATATATATATTTTTTTAATGTTTATTGGTGCAATGAAGGCTATGTTTTACTTTTTTAGGTTAAAAATAGTATTCGAATAGTAGAGTCAGAGGGCGCTGTCGCTCAGGAGTCAGGACTCCCCAGAGCATGAGAATTGAGAGCGACCTCTTGACTCTTTCTCCTTTTTTTTTAATGTTCATTTGTAAATTTGGGGGGTGGTTTTTTGTTAAAAATAACAAATACTAAAATCGAGAGAGTATTCAAAAATACTCCGAATATTTACTACTAATCATAAGGTAGACTGACTCTCTACTGCTGAATACTATATTCCAAATATGGCATGTCAACCTTTGGCGCGCATTTACTTTTGTTTTTTATGTAATAAAAAACAATTGTGTATGTAATTACTTCAATTTACTCAACAATATTGACTACACGAGTAGCGTAATCACATCCACAGTCAAGTATTGACACAGCTTTTAAATGGCCTTATGTATCAGGCCGACAAGTCTAGCGATCATGGGAATATCCTGAATATGTATCTCAGCAGGGAAAGCTGCACTCAGCCGGGAGTCTTTGTTCTGTCAACAATGGTACACTGTCCAACCGATAGAGTCAACTCTCGAGTTCTAATTTAGTGTTAGAATTTAGTCTGGCATATATAAAATATGTAGGCATCGAAAGATATTTCTGATGTGTGTGTTTTATTTGCACCTGTGGATAAGAGAACTGCACGCCTGGGCTCCCCACTGCATTGTATTTGGGTGTTTTGGTGCAACTAAAGCATTCTACACACACGTGTTGCTATTCGATCACAACATAGGCGCAGGCGCACCTCAATCGGCACATAAAGACACACTCTGCACATCAGAGGTCCAGTGAGCTTGCTGTCTTTGTCGGTGTCGCCAGCGAACACGTTCTTCGGTTCTGTGGCGTCAGCGTGACGCTGTATTACCCCGGAGATAGTACATTCGTCCACGAAAGGCTTATCCCACATGAGTGTGTGTATCGTCAGCTGAATCAAATGCACTCTAGTTACGAACTGAGCGCTTGTTGGTATATGTCGTGGTTGTGAATTTCGATTCTGACTTAATCTATAGCTTCATATCATGCCGAATGTGTTCACTTGTGGTCCCAGAGACTGGCGGCACTGGGGCGGATTTGTTCGCCATGGTTCTGCAATTAAGACGTGTTTATGCCAAGTTTAGGATATGTAACCGTAGTGCTCTGACCACACACACTGTTTTCTCTTCGGATCTCGCGATCAAATATGTAATCGGATGAGATATATGAAACATCACTTTGCAAATGTGCAATCCTTCACTGACAGAAGTACATTTAATTCGGTTTCTTGATCACTTGAGCTGGGATCACTATCCTTAGAAAAATGACAGTGTATTATTATAGAGGTACAAAGAATTTATCGGAGCTCGAAGTGTGTCATAGCAGTCAGCCTGCTCATATACATTAATCACAGTATACACGTAACACATGTACACTGTTTGGAAGTGTATCATAGCAGTAATCCTACTCATATAGACAAATCACAATACACACACGAAATACGTGCACTGCATCAAGTGCGTCCTAGCAGTCAACCTACTCATATACACTAATCACAATACACACACAAAACATGTTATACATCAATCACAGTATACACACGAACCAGGAGCACTGGCCTACTCATATACATTTAAGCACAGTACACACACGAAACATGTACATCAATCACAGTATACACATGAACCAGGTGCACTGGCCTACTCATATACATTTACCCACACGAAACATGTGCAATGCATGTATGACGGTGTATATTCATAGCGCATAAAGTACCACAACGCCTTTAGAGGCACACGCGTATCGTCTCCGCAGAATACCATTGATTTCCTATTGGTGTTAAACCTGACCCATACGCACATACACCTGTGATAGTATAAACTCGCCGCACACGACACTAGTGAGTATTCGGCAATCCACTGAGTGTAAATCAAGCACTCACAACACACGACACAAGTGAGTATGTATATCACAATCCACTGAGTATAAAGCAACCACTCAAAACACACAACACAAGTAAGTATGTATCTCACAATCCACTGAGTATAAAGCAACCACTCAAAACACACAACACAAGTAAGTATGTATCTCACAATCCACTGAGTATAAACAACCGCTCACAGCACACGACAAAGGAAGTACGTATATCACAGTCCAATGAGTATACTACAACCACTCACACAACACGACACAAGTAAGTATATCATAATCCACTGAGTATAAAACAACCACTCACAGCACACGACACAAGTAAGTATGTATATCACAATCCAATGAGTATAAAACAAGCACTCACAACACACGACACCAGTGAGTATTCCGTAATCCACTTAGTATAAAACAATCACTCATAGCACACGACACAAGTAAGTGTGTATATCACAATCCACTGAGTATAAAACAAGCACTCCCAACACACGACACAATTAAGTATGTATATCACAATCCACTGAGTATAAACAACCACTCACAGCACACGACACAAACAAGTTTGTATATCACAATCCACTGAGTATAAAACAAGCACTCGCAACACACTATACAAGTAAGTATGTATATCACCATCTACTGAGTATAAACAACCACTCACAGCACACGACACAAACAAGTTTGTATATCACAATCCACTGAGTATAAAACAAGCACTCGCAACACACTATACAAGTAAGTATGTATATCACCATCCACTGAGTATAAAACAGCCACTCACAGCACACGACACAAGTATGTATATCATAATCCACTGAGTATGAAACAAGCACTCACAACACACGACACCAGTGAGTATTCCGCAATCCACTGAGTATAAAATAACCACTCACAGCACACGACACAAGTAAGTATGTATATCACAATCCAATGAGTATAGAACAACCACTCACAACACACGACACCAGTGAGTATGCTTTTCACAATACAATGGCTATAGAAAAACCACTCACAGCAAACGACAGAAGTATGTATGTATTTTACACTTCACTTGGTATTAAACAACCACTCGCAACACACAGCCCAAGTAAGTATGTATTTCACAATCCACTGACTATAGAACAACCACTCACAACACACGACACAAGTAAACAAGTTAGCATGTATTCCGCAATACACTGAGTATAAAATGAGCACACACAGCACACGACACAAGTAAGTTTGTATATCACAATCTACTGAGTATAAAGCAACCACTCACAGCACAGACCCAAGTCAGTATGTATATCACAGTCCAATGAGTATAAAACAAGCACTGGCACCGGGTTACCTGTCTGCGCACTAGGCTCTCGCCCGTTAACAATGAGGATCCCATGTTGGGGTCGTATGTGGGCATGTTCAGCCGAGTATTAGAGGGACGGTACGCCATCAGTTCGCCAATAGACAGCCCGTGCATCTCTCTGGCTGCCGATTGGGCCGACTGAGGGGCTAGACCCACAGGCATAGAGTTGGAGATACCCTGTGGATGTGGGGTGCGGGATATCGGTGGCGTACAGGCGGGGAGTGTAAATAGGTATCAATTGCGTGTGAACCATGCGTGTGAGATATATTGTATATGAATTGTATACTATCGTCCATTGTACTAAAGCTATATAGCTAATCTCTCACCGGGATATGCGCTGCGTTTAACTTCCGTATTGTGCTGCATCTACTTTACTGGGGTAAGCTTGAACTTATGCTTCAAAGTTCAACTACTATAATGCTGATACCACTCACTTATTATGGGAGTGCTATCCGAGCACACATATATATGTAACTACAGAGCCGTGTCAATAGCCTAGACGGTTGAGATGCCTTGAAGATGGGGAACGTGCATACCGTGAGGCCAGATGTAGATATAAGAAAGCAACGAAGTGTACAGCCACTCGTTTGGATATCAGCCCACCTCTGTAATACTTTCCACAAGATTTTGATGATTAATATATCGCTCGACAAAACACACACCGTAGTCACCTCGTATACATTATCTTCTGTCCTTTACACTTAATATTGACTTCACAGCAGTGAGTGTAACACGCACACACGAACGTCATCTCGAATACATTATCTTCTTACTTGAAAACTTACCATTGACTTCACAACAGAGAGTGCAACATACACGAAAGTCACCTCGTATATATTATCTTCTGCCCGTTAAACGTACCATTAATTCCACAGCTGTGAGTGTAACATACACACGAAAGTCATCTCGTATAAATTATCCTCTGCCCGTTAAACGTACCATTGATTTCACAGCTGTAAGTGTACCATACACACGACAGTCATCTTGTATATACTACCTTCTGTCCTTACACTTACCATGGACTTGACAACCGTGAGTGTGTTTTTGCTTTCGGGTGCCACTGCGTCCATTTTGTTGTGTGCGTGTGAGTATCGTCGTAGGGGCTCAATCATCGCTCTGAAGTCGCGCGCAAGGTCTTCGGCCGCCTCACCCTGGTGTCACAAATTTGAGCGCAGTTGAGTGCTTTGTAGTAGTACATAGTACCAGGTGCTTTCAAGGCATATATATATATATATATATGAGTGTGTGTGTGTATATGTATCTGTATCTGCATCTGTATCTGTATCTGTATCTGTATCTGTATCTGTATCTGTATCTGTATCTGTATGTGTATGTATATGTGGATGTGGATGTGTATGGGTATGTGTATGTTTTTGTGTGTTTGTGTGTGTGTGTATGTGTGTGTGTGGAATATATATACATATACCAAGTGATATTGTCGGTAGGTTTTCTCAGTGGATTACATCAGGAAGTTTGTATCCCAGGGCGGTACAGGTAATACGTACTCTGCATATTTCTCTGCAGGTGCAAACTCTGATGGTATGAAAGTCCAGACCCTGGGTTGATACATACTATAATATCAGTATGTATGACATTGCAGATAGTTAGAGAAAGCGAATAGACGACAAATTCCTTCTCCCTCACCAACTGGTGGACGTACTCACAAGATGAATGCGTGGAACTTACAACTGATGTTTCTACGTGGGAATCGAATTGCAAGGGTGTTGTGTTATTGCGTGCTATGTCAACGTATAGCAGGCACATGCTATATTGGGCCTGGCTACACGTACTAGAGTACTACACTTCCGTATGCGAGCACAGCCTTATGCATCCCTCGCTCACGTTTACATCAATTGAGCATAACCTACACACAGAATAACTCATACACATACGCGCACATACCTTGACTGTTTCGTTCGCGCTTCTCTGCGCCTGCACCGCACTCTTCCAGAAGTCCGTCTTACCAGGGATAGGCGCAACCTCTTTAATCTTAAACATCAGCAACCCCATCAAGTATATACACACGATATTAATTACCGTCAGCAGGAAGCTCCATGCGCCCAGTAATGCCATCTCCGCACCGTCGACCGGGTTTGCTGGGTTGGCCAAAAACGGCCCTACGATTGCATACGCCCACAGAATACCAGCATTGACTGCCGGGGGCAGTAGGGAGGCTGAGATGGCCACACCTACGAGTGAGGATGTGTTGTTTCCTAATATAGACAGCGCTACTCCCGCACCCGACGGGATAGCGATGGTGATGGAGACCAAACACGCCTGCCACGTGCCGCGTGAGGACATCTCATTGGTGGGCCAACCCCACGAGTCGTAGCCCAGTGTACAGAACACTAAGCCGATGATGAAACCTGTGACCACGCACATGAGAAGGGAGACACACTCCATGAGGAAGCCGTGGCGCACCATCTTCCAGTCGAGGATGATAGACCCAAAGGTGAAGGCCAGGATGGGCCCCATGATGGGAGAGATAAGCATAGACGCTACTACGGCCACCACACTGTTGTGCACACAGAGGGGTGAGAGTTGTTTTCGGTGAGGATTGGGGCGGATGGGATAATGAGTTGTTGGTGGCGAACTCGGAGTTGCGTATGATTGAAATGTGATCCCGTAAACGTTAAGGACTGTTCTTTGCAATGGTATACTCCTACTTAAACGGCAATTGTAACACGCCAATCGCATGCAATGCAATTTGTGGGGGAACACTCGCGTACCTGTTTGTGGCTAACCCCATTCCTGCAACAAACCCGGCGATAACCACCAACGACAAATAATCGAAGGTCATAGCTGCACCAGCTTCCACCTGAGCGAGTACCTTCTCCATCACCAAACGGGAACGGACGCTTTCCTGTGTGAGTTTTGTATTGGACAGACAAAGTCGGTGTAGTGATTCGCAAGATATTTGTATGGTGTTGTGGACCGAAGTGTTGTTGAGTCCTCTGTGTGTGTATCATGATTCCGTTTTGTGACTTGGCAGTATGCTGACCAGATGCAACTTCTGCACACTCTCAAGTTATCTGGTAACAAGGTCAAGCTGTGATGCAGTCCACTTTCGGAGGAAGATGGTTTGCTTTATTATTAGTGTGTGCATAAAAACGAAGCCCTTCAATGCTATAAACCCTAAACCCTAACACAGCTCTCGTTGCACGCACATGCTAATAGACTATCCAAAGCAGCGGCGACCGTAGATACGGCCTGCGAATGACATATACAAGTTGATCCCTATCTCGTAAAAAATATTTAGGTTATACATTAACCAATTGTATATTCTACATACATCAACGTGACCTACCATGAATTTGCCGCCTTTTCGGCTATTGTCGTCTTCGACCACAGCTGCGAAGGGACGTGACAGCTCAATGGGGATCACTTGCACTGTGCCATAGTCCCCACCCACCCCAATGGAAAGTAGCTTCTCCATCACATGCTCCACTCTGTTTAGTCAGAGTATGTGTGTAGTCTAAGATGATGAGCTTGCAGCATCGAATCATATCATATTTGGTATACGGCATGTAAAGATACGAAGTCTGTGGATGTTTGCTAGTCAATTGGCTTATTTCATATGCGGATGGTGGAGGATTAGAAGCCTGCCTGTAGCATTTCGTCGACAGAACTTAAACTCTGCAACGATCATAAATATCATCCCGGAACATGCTTGTGTTGGCGAGCAGTATAGCAAATAAATACTCGTTATTCAATACAAGCGTATGGTTTTTGAGATAAACCTGACCAGTACATGTGCTGGAATGCTTTACGCCAATAACTCCTTGGTAGACATTTCGTCCACAGTTGATGATATCTCATCCATAGGGTTTAGTTTGTGGACTAACTTCTTGTGAGAAAAGGTGTGATTGATATATATATATATATATATACATATATTATTTATATATATATATATATATATGTATATATATATATATATATATATATATATATATATATATATATATATA